ATTCCTTTAAAAACATACACAGGCAAACCCATAGTGAACATAATGCACCAATTATTTGCATTACAAATCATACTCATTTTAAAATTATACTTAAGTAAACTTTTAAAAAGCGCTTAATTTTGAAGTTTTTTTTTTTTTTTTTTGGTATTTGAGTTATTGTAATCCATTGGATTACAAATTTCGTTGTGTTGTCGGACCTAACATTTAATTTCTTACATAACAATTTCTAACAATGTTTCAGAAACAATGGACCAATGAAAAATTTAATCCAAAAGTCAATATTCCTAAGGATCTGCTGTGTGAACTGAATGTGGTAATGCAACATGATGTAACCAATGAATCTGTCATTAATTTGGTATTATTTTGTTTGTCTGACAAAGTAACACTAGGTAAGATGCAGTAAATATACTACATTCACAACTGAGGCTGCTAAAAGTCATATCTGTTATATTGCACCAGACTACTCACCAAATGTGTCTCACTCTCCTATATAATCCATAAAGAAATAGAATTCCTGAAACGTGTCCAGAGAAAACTTCCCCATAAAAACAAAAACAAAGTGTCGTGGTGTAACACTCACAGTGCACATGAACACATCAGTGTACGAACAGTTATACAGTCACCCATATTAAGCTAATACATTTCTTTAAAATGACAGCAACAGATCGCCACATTCCAGAGAGAACTTCATATCCGTACGGATCTGATCAGACGTTACTTTCGTATTTCCTCTTTTGTTGTCCTCTCCGGTAAATCCACGCGCATCTCCGGCTCTTTGTTTTCCTGCTCGTGAGCGTGTGGGTAAGAACAGCCGGACAGGGGACAGTGTGATTAGTGGATACCCCTCCTCCCATCCCACCCTTTCCCATTTTTGCCTGTGCACACACCCTCCTTTGGCTGCCACCCAGCGGAGACGTGTGTGTGTGTTTGTGTGTGTGTGTGTATCAGGTTTATGGGAATCAAGCTCAGTAAAACCTGAAATCATCTAGTTACGAAATGGTAATTTATTTACTATAAGAAAAACGGTTTAATAAACATACAAAATAACATAGAATATATGAAATACTGTGAGAACATAATTGCTGAAAAAGATCGTTCATAAAGAGACAATCTCTTTAGTGCTTTAAAAAAATCACAAAGTTGTATTTTGTCTTTTTGAGTTCTAATTTAATATAGTTCTAATATAGTTCGTGTATAGTTCTAATTAATAACTTCTTGAACATTCTTAAAATTCTCTACATTTATATTGTTTTCTTCCCCAATCGAATCACAAATTGTATTGATTGCTTTTTCTGAACGAGATGAATGAGGGGATAAAAAATCTCATTTTTTACTAAGGATATAAGATTTACTTTTAGTCTTTCCAAATTATACAACAGAGAAATTTTTTTTTTCACTCATTCCACTGTGATAAACCAGAAAACTATGGAAGCCCGTTTCTATGGATATGAAAGCCCGTTTCTAAGGAAGCCCGTTTCCGCCACTGAATAAAAAATAAAAGAGGTAATTGCGACTTTTTATCTCACAATTCTGACTTTTTTTCTCAGAATTGCGTGATATAAACTCGCAATTGCGAGTTAAAAAGTCATAATTGAGAGATATAAACTCGCAATTCTGAGAAATTATCAGTCTTTTTTCCCCCCTGAAAATTGGACTTTAACTCGCAATTGCGAGTTTATATCTCACAATTCTGA